CTTTGTATTGGTTATGGAAACCGATCACTTCATCTCCGGGAGTAGGAGTGATGATTAACTTAAGGGCCGGCTACGATAGGCGTAGACAAGTGACAGTGCATCAGCAGAATTACTGAACATGTAACTCGGAGAAATGTTCTTAGTCCATTAAAAAATTATATCATCTTTAATTTGAATCTAATGTAGGACACGGTGATGGACTTGATGGATTCCAGGTAACAAGTAAAGATGAATTACCGTTGACGTCATAAAGGCGGTTTTACTGGAAATTGACAATCGCAAATTCCAAACCCCGCGTTAGGAAAAAGGTCGTCAGAGTAGCACAATCCACTGATTTGTTTTATGAAGGCCAAACTACAACATGAACCTCTGACGCATTTTATTTAGTCAGTCTCGTATTGACGGGTTGAAGGTCAAGAGGATTAAGCGTTTCTGAAACAGTATATCGGTGTAAATAATAGATGATTCAGGAGTCGTACAATGTGCTACAACTATGCGGTTCTTTCCACCAAGTTCGAGATACAATTTTGCTCAACTATAGATGGCTTGGTTTTACGAGGATAGTGATTTTCATTTGAGAGCATTTAGGTACGACACAGCGGGACTAATTTGAACAAAATGAGGAAGGGAGAAAGAATGATTCCATTCATTTACCCATTTGATATTATACAACAGATCCCACAAAAAATGAAACAGTTCATTCAGTGAAAAACCGGTCAGTGGGCATGACTGAATGACGACATACTGTGGCTGGACAATATCACACAAGAAATGATCGTGACCTCGTGGATGCGCAATCATGTGATAGCCTAGTCGTCGTCGTCAAATGAGCTGCATCACGTGATTTAAGTACAACTAAAAAAACTGATCAACATCAACGTTAAAGCACGAAAACGGACAAATGAGACTGTTATCAGGACGAATCGTCCTGCTCGAATATTCTGTATTGCGAAACTTAATTAAGCATTTCGGGTGTAGACAGGATCCTGTCAAAGCGATTTATAGCGGGTCGGATTAACACAACCCTGTCAATGTAAATTAACACGAAAGAAGTACCAACGTTAAAGGAGAACGAAACCGAACTCTCAATCAATTCCAAATGCACATACTATGTAACTTGTTAGCTAATCCACAGAAGCTCTGTCATCATTTAGTGAGCCACATATCAAAAGAAGGCGAGTAGTAGGAGTACAGAAAAGACAGACCTGTGGAGCGAAAAAAACTGACTTGCAAACAGGAGAGAAACTTTGACGGACAGGGTTTGAGAACCTTCCGCATTAAACCAAATGTGTAACAGTTACTCCAAAACATCAAGATGTGACGGCGGGTGACACACAACAGATAGAAGTACGACACCAGTGTCATGCTACACCGGTAACAATTGACCTATAGGCTAACTTGCATCAGCTGGTTGATAAAGGAATTCCTTTGTCGTGAAGGAGGTTTTTAGTGGCAAAAGTGCAAAAGCAAATATATAATCATACTGAGTGTGAACAAATTATTATCACGGGTAGATAGACCATTAATACTGCCAGTTTTCTTGTTGCAAAATTAAGAGCAGTTTCTGATGATAACCGCTGTTTTTACTTTGAATCTCCTTGATGGTTACCGATAAGTAAAATGCGCTGAAGCGCAAATCAGTCGACGGCCTCTAAGCCAATGGAACGAAGAAAAAGAAAACAAAGGATCTGGATGAGTGAATATATATATAAAAATAACGAGTTTCTGCTTTGACCTGGAAGCGTACAAAAGGGTTCCGATAGATCAACAGTTATTCTACGTTTCGGGCCTCGATGTAGCAAAGCGTCGCTGTTTAACATTTGTGAAATACGGTCATATGGTGCGATGGATTGAGGTGCAACGCTATGATTAAGTAAAAACAAAAAGGAATAAGAAATCAGTCTTTTCATTACTGTTATAACGAAATGATACTTCAGTTTTAAAGCTCATAAAAATTACTCTCCATTCTGGGTGTCTGTAACCGTGAGCAACCATCGATCCCGGCACTCGTTGGCTTCCAATGTTAACGGTCAGTCGGTCCGTTGGCGCGATATATGAGGTTCGAAAACTGTCATTAATCGTAATTAGGCAAATACGCTGACGCGCGGCTACACAATATAATCATTGAGGTTTCATATGGTTCTAGTTGCCGATTATTGCGTCTTTGGTGGAAGACAGCTTTGTTGTTTTCCGGCTCAATACCATGTTTAATTTG